CAGTCTTGTCAAAAAATATTCGAGGTCAGTTCGAAAAATACACATTTTCCAAATAAAATGCTCACAAAACGGATTGCGGTTGGAAAATAATTTTCAACAAAAAAATTGGAAAAATTGTTGAAGTTCCAAAAACCCGATGTGAGAGTCACTGATTTCTCTACCGTTGTTATTAGACTTATCAGTTTTATAAAACGGTAGAGATTTTGTAAATAAACAAAAATAGAAAACAGGGTCTTGAGCTCCATTTCATACAAAATAACATGTAGAAACAACAAAAAAATTAGGCTAATCTGATGGTGTCAAATTTTCAGTGGTTCTACCACTTTAGCAAACTTCAGATGCTTTTTCATACTCGAAAAATTATCTGAAAATCTTACCATAATATATGGAGAACTTTTAGTCAAGGAAAACTAAAAGATTGTAGGAAAGCTTCGTTCGAAAAGAATAAACGATGTTTTTATTTGTGAGCGCCCCTGCAGTATACAAAATTTTCAACCACTAGGTTCACACCAAACCTGGATATATAGATCAGAAATATGTATAAATTTCGTCTTTTAGCTTTTCAAAATTGTGAGCTTGATGTCTTCTGAAGAAATTCCGGAACTCGACAGCCTACCTCTCAAATTTGAGCCTCGAAAGGTCATGAACCGTCGGGTTCTATCTCGATTTAGTTTAGAACTTACTAATACAGATCCTATGCTTATTCACAGACTAAAAGAACCAGAAATGTGTACAGAAGTATGTATTGAATAGAACAGTAAATTAGAAATGCTGATTACTCATGAGATCTAACTGTGGAAGTCCGGTGGCAAGCTACTGAAAAACTTCTCAAATATTAGAACTCAATTCAAGAATCAGACTTCGGTTCTCAGTGTGTTTGCATAATTGCCGAAAGAAACAGTAACTTTCCAAAATCTCAGTGTACAGAAGAAAAGAAAACAAAAGTCAAAACTCAAAAGATTATTTTTTTGCAACAAAAAACTCAAAAAAAAGATGACTTTCGGTGTGAAATGACATACACGCCTGTGGACGTTTGTAACTTGAGTAGAGACGAGATAGTGTGTAAGACGAAGAGACGCAGACAAAGAAAAGGGACTAGAAAAGAAGTGTTTTCTGATGGAATAAACAGAAGAACAAAACAAGAAAAATGAAACGGGAACCACCCATCAAAGTGCTTCTGAAGGAATCAGATACACATGAATATGGGTGGATTTTAAGAAAATTGGAGAATCAGAAATCAAAAATATGTATTAGGAATGAGATTGAATGTTATTGTATGCTGTACAATTTTGTAATTGTGTTTTGATGTTCCAATTTGGGGAACAAAACAAAATGGGAAAACTGACTGATTAGAATTATTAGAGGGCAAAGTCTACAGAAAGTTATTGAAAAATCACCATAAAAATTGAATTTTGAAAAAAAATTAACCATGAAAAGATTATGGTTAGAAACGGGTTTTTTGACAAAAAAAAACTGAGAATGCCAAAAACCTCGAGAATTTTTTACATGTTTCATTTAACTTTTATGACCCAACGTCGGTCATTATGGCATTGAGATCTCAGAATTGACTCACTTCTTATTGTCGGATTAAAAAAAGTGACACCTGAAAATCTCGGAGACGGCGCTCGTGTCGATTTACGAGGGGGCGGAGCGAAAACGGATACTGTAGATAACAAATTTATTTATGTGATTTTAGTGGGATTTTCTGAACAAAATTTTGATTTTTTGGTATAAAAATGATCGCTAGCATCTATAGAATCTATTTTTCAGCAAAAAACTAAACTTAAACGCGAAAGTAGCCCGAACGAGCCGAAATTCTGAAATATTACGTTTTTGCCGCACTTTTTTGTAGATCAAAAAAAGCACAATTTTTCAAATTTTCAGGTGTCACTTTTTTTAATTCGACAATACTATATAAACTTTTTCTGTCTGTGGAGGAGCGAAGTTCTTAAAATCAAGCTTATAATCAATTTTAGTTAGAGTTCTTGTAAAAAAGTGTATTTTTTGAAAAATGCTTTTCGAAAATAAAATTCTTTTTGGGAGCTAATACATATGGTTGAGCATTCTGAAGGGGATTTTCGAAAAAGAAGATTTTTAAGCCTAAAAATTAGGTAGAGGAAAAATACTAAAAAACGGGAAACTCAAAAAAAGATATTGTAGTGGAAAACAAAAGTTGAAGGATGGAAAATAGTGAAGAATACAAATTGGTTCAATTTCCAAGAGAGTAGAAGAGGAAAAAAAGAAAAAACAATGAGAAAGTGCGATAAAAATGGATCTAGAATTACGGAATTCTCGGTTTTGTGCAGGCATCTTAACAGAGATAACATGATTAATCTTGAAAGATATATAAAACAGAAAAAAATTATTTCAAATTTATTTGATTTTTCAGCATTAGATACCGAAAGACCTCTAATAGAAGGGCCCCACACTGCTGAGTTGGAGCTCAATTATCTCAATTCCTATGCAAGATATCAAAAATGTGTCAACTGACGAGACATTTCTATTATCCTGATAAACAACTTTTCACTTAACAACATTTTTTTATTTTTTGACAGGAACCGAAAAAAACCACCTCAACTTTAAAAATAAGTAGGCCCTTCAATTAAAGGTTGTACGGTCTCTATAGCCATGGAAAAATGAGAAACTGTCAACTCGTGCCTACAGGCCAAGTAGAACAATTACAGTGTTTAGCGTTGACATGAGCCTGCAAACACGCAGCTGGCAGGTTATAATTCCGCAAAAGAATAAAATTAATACTGTCATAACAACCAATGCTTGATCTTAAAAGTTATATGAAACATGTGAAAATTTTTAGGGTTTCTGGGAATTTGAATTTTTAAGAACTTTTAAACGATAGTCCGTTAGTTTCAACATGTTTATGGTTCACTTTTGTACGAATTTTTTGATATTTAACTGAAAAATAAATAAAAAAGACCGACTTGGCCAGTTGTCCGTAATTGAAAATGCCAATATGGTATTTTCGAACGCATGATTTCTTTGACTTGAATCCCAAAACCCAAAACTTCAAAAATGTTCCATTCTGAGGGTTACACATATTACTATATTTCCTCTGACAAAAGCCCACACAAACCGTCAACTTTGAAAGATATCAAAAATTTGGCAACTGATCCAATTATTTGTCATAGTATCACCAATAATTCATCACTTGACATTTTTGATATCTCTCGTAGAAATCGAGATAATTGAGCTCAAAATTGACGGTTTGGTAGTAATCTAATAGAGGAAATACGGTTTGTGATACACAAGAACAAAAACACTTACAGTTTCAGAATCTTTTTTTTTTAATTGTCTTCGCACTGTGTTAATAATCTTATGTCAATTTCAGGCAACGTTCATCTATTGTTTTTGGTAAAATTATGAAAAATAATCTCAAACTGAAAACAATTTCACAAGGACAACGAATTCAGCACCTGTTTATTCCAAAAATAGTAGAAAACATTTCGAACTTTCCGACTGTTTTGCCTTTTTTCATTTTCCAAAGAACAGTCCGTTCCCGTGATAATATTAATCATACAGAAGTTATATTTCTAAAAATAGGGAGCGATAAAAAAGTGTCAACTGATTAAAAATTATATGGGAGAAGGACAGGAAAAAAAATAACGGAAAAATGAGAAGAATCACAAGTTGTGCGAACTTTAACTTTTTGTTTCGATTTTCGATTCGCGGACGTCATTGGATTATCATAAACCGAGAAAAGGGAAAAACTGGAATTTTCAGAGTTTCATATGAAAACTTTTAGTTTTTGTGGCTGTTTACAGGTTATATTCAGGGGTCATAGAACAATTTTTTGCAATTTGCACTTTTGGTTGTTTTCGATTTTTGCTGACATCGCAATTTTGGGCATTTTGGGCACACAGAAAATAAGAAAAAAGAAAAAACTGGATTGACTGCAAAAAAGACAATCGAAACTGAGAAAATTGGATTTGATTCGGCTTCTCTGACTCCTCCTCTCTTCTGAAAAACTTCTAAAGTCATCTGAAGACGTTGTGTCGTCAGAATCTGAAGTAAAGAATCTGAAGTATATTCTGACTAGTACTACAAAAAAAGATGAAAAGAATTGAGAAAAAAAGGTTTCCGAAATTAGATAGGGTGCCAAACATCTTCTGAAGGAAGAAGAAGAAGAAGATGAAGAAGAAAAAGCAGAAGAGGAATTGATGAATCTTTCAGCGGGGAATACGAAAAAGAAGAAGAAGAAGAAGAAGATGGTGGTGTTGAAAGGAGAAACGAAGAAAAAGTGTGTGCAATGGATTCCTCCATTTTTTTGGGTTTTTTTCTTCAGGTTTTTTTTACTTTCTTTGGTATAAGATGCAAACGATTTTGGAAATTCTAATGATTCTGAAGAATTATTTGGTATGTGGGATTTTTTAATGAAAAATGTATCTAATATCTTGTGGGTGGATGAGATTCTGACCTCATAGAAATCACGGATTATGGGAAAATAGTTATTGGAATTATAGAAGAGGAATTTCGCTGTTTCAAGAGTATTGTAAGAAAGTAGACATTATTTGTTTTTACTGTTGGGATTAAAATTTCAAAAACTGATACATATTTAACCTGTAATAGAATGGCACTTCAACTCAATTTAAAGGAAAAAAAATAGGAGATTTTGAGGAGTTTTTTGGAGTTACGGTACGCGACACGGCGAATAATTTACGAAGTTTATTTTTCTACAAATCTACAGTAATCCAGACTGAATCAAAACCTACATATCTCCTCGCTCATTCTTGTTTTTCCTTAAAAATTCATATCAAAATGTTTGCGATGAAATTCTGGATAAAAGTTGCCTAACTAAACAAATATATAATTGGTGGTAGTAATCAACAGATTGATAAATATTTATTAATATTCTTATGTACAAACAGACTGAAACAGTGTAAAGTAATACCCGTAATATAACAGAACGGGGGTTGCGATGAAAGAAATCTGGACTAGAGTTAAGCTTTAAAAATCTACACGATTAGGATTTTCAAAAATTCTTCTCAACGGAATATTCTTCTCGCTGAATCAGTAGACCAATTGTTGAAATTGAATTGTGAGATTTGTTGACGACCTTCCAGGAAGGGAACAGGACGCACCATTCGGCGGATCGGACCTGAAATCAAGCAAAAAACTTTTCAGCAATGTAATTTAGTAGACAAATTTTTTTGCGAATGTGCTGGAACAGTGCTTTTTTTTCATCCTATTTGTATATACAACTTTTCATGCAGCTCAAACTTCTAGCTTTGAAGGCAACATTTCCAGACCCTAGATATCGTTCGACTTTGAGCATATTTTGTCATTATGAACTTTTTGAAACTGCAATATTTTTTCTAAACTTACTCAAATTGACATCGGAAAACTGTGGTGTTTTGAAAAATGTCTGCGACGCCAGTTTGGATAATCTCCTTTCATCCACGTCTACATCCACCTGAATATGCATCCGACGACTCAATACGTTGATATGACTGTCCTTGATCCGAAGCACTGAAATATGGGCAAATCGGAAAACGTTAAACCTTGCAAATTGAGGAGCACCAATAAAAATCAGGTTGAATTTAGATAATGAAATTTTTAGAGTTCGTTATTCACCAAGTTGTTTACCGAGTTTTCAAAAATCATGGCAATCTAATATTTATTACACAGAATTTTGAATGAAATTCTGAAAATTTTCGATAAATCGGATGATTCCGAAATTCCGAAACATTCACACACTTTTTCCGAGATAAATTGGTTCAAAGTTAAAAGCTAGGGGCCATTCTATTGCAGGCTTTACAGTAACTTTGAAAAATAAAAAAAGCTCACCATGAGGAAGTGGGAGTGGCATTCCGCTCACAAGCAGACCATTCAACAAATTTTCAGCCAACTGACTGACTAGAAGAGCAATATCGTCAATTTCTGCATCAGATATGTCCACGGTTCCAGTCCGACGCTTCAATTCGAACTTTCGAAGTTCCACGGATCCACTTACATTGTGACCCTGAATTTTTGGTGTTAATCATCTAGCTCAAAGTATTCGTAGTTTCCAAGTATTACCTGAATAGACAATCGGGCATCCGCAACAACATCCAGATCAACTACAATGACTTGACGACGATGGTTTCCGTTTACAGCGAAAACGACGACTAGTCCGCCCATGGATACCGAGATCGTACCTGGAAAGTATCGCATAAATGATAAAGAAAAGAACAAATCGAATGGAACAACTATTTTTATATAAAAGTAGTGAAACAGGGATCTGAATGTTTTTAATTCCCATTTGAGATTTTTCAAATTACCTCCATTTTTCTCACTAAATAAGACAGCAGGCGCTCTGGTGGCACTCATAGCCAGTTCTACAGTAGAATTCGGATATTGTTCAGCTAATTGAGGAGCCAAATCGGAAATACAGAAAGATCCCTCACAAGTTGTTCGAAGAAATGAGGCAACTCCTTTGGTTCGTGGAGTTAGGAGAACTTTGATGAATCGTTGCCTGGAAATAAATTACCATAATTAATAATTGGTAGCTGTTTCAGGAAACTTGTGAAGATTTTCGATTTTATTTTCGAGCAATTTCACTACACTATGACGGTTTCATACAAAAATTCGCGACTTACACATAAGCATGATAGAGAAGGGAGTTCGGCAAAAAGTCTGACACCACCAGCTCGATCATTGAATCCTTACTGGTCACTGAATCGACAACATTCGCTTTGAATGGAGATTTTCCTGGCCATGAAGCGTCGACTGGTCCGAATGGAGTGTCTCCTTGACCCATATATGAAATCTCTCCCCATGAAGCGAGTTCCACTGTGTTCTCGTGGCAAATTGGATGTTCTTTTAGTCTGAAAATACGATTTTCAGAATGAAATTTCGAAAAATAAAAATTGTTTAGCTTAAAGAGGTGCTTAATGTAATAAAACATTGGTCTGAGCCTTCCTTTATGCCTCGTCTAAAGTTCCCAAATCTGGAATTTCTGGGCCCAGAAAGCTTTTTCTACAATCTTTTTTGGGAAATTTGTTACTTGAATTTTTTTCGAAATTTTTTTTTTGAACAAGTCCGGTGATAACCTAATCAAAATCTAAAATTGGACATAAATCCCTTGGGTTTTTTTCGATTTTTGTTCATTTTCTGTAAAAAAAATTTACTTAAAAATTTTAAAAATTTAAATTAGAATCGATAGGTTATGATAGTTTTTCTGTTGTAATCTGCTATTTTGGGTGACAGATCGACACGGAAAACTGAGCATTTCAAAAAATTCTGTGTTATTCAAATGTGATGAAACAGAAAATTTTGAATGCTTTTTTAAACGGATGAAGCAAACGACTTTTTTTTCTGTTAATGAAATTTCCAAAAGCTGTAATTCTTTGAAAAAACGGCCAAGAAGACTTAAAACTTTTCAAAACTGCCCTTATTGTAGTACCAAATCGTTTTGAGAAACTTCTAAAAACTTATAAGAAACGACCGACACCGGATAGTTTTTCTCACTTTCCAAATCATTTTTCAAAGTTATCCGGAATTATATACTGTATTTGCAAAACTGGCCGACGAAAATGCCCATTTCGGTCCTGTTTCAAGTATAGGGGATGAAATATTGCATCAATACAGAAATCCATGTAGATTCCCATAAAAATAAAGAAAAAATTCAAAAAAATTCCTTCATTGAGAAAAACGGCATCGAAAAGTCAAAGTGGGAACTGGTGGCCTAGCGGCCAGGTGTGAGTTTTCTAGGCCAACTGCCGGTAAAAGCGCGCGGAATTCAAATTTTTATTGATTTTTGCTTTCTCTGATTTTTTTTCAGGTTTTTCATACACCTGGGAGGAAACTAACAAACATTTTGAAATCTTTAAAAAACATCAGAGAAAACACTGAAAATCAGTAAAAGTTCGAATTTCGCGCGCTTTTAGCGGCAGTTGGCCTAGAAACTCACACCTGGCCGCTAGGCCACCGGATCCCACTTTGACTTTTCGATGCCGTTTTTCTCAACGAAGGAATTTTTTTTGAATTTTTTCTTTATTTTTATGGGAATCTACATGGATTTCTGCACAAAATGAAGCAATAAAATTTTTCACCGCACACCACCTTTAAGGTCCTGTGAAATGTATCTCAATGGACTGGTAACATTATTTTTTTCAAAAAATAGGAACATGTTTTTGCAGTTTACTATTGCAGCCTACTGTATCTCTGGCTAACAGACACAAAGAAATGAACATTTCAAAAAAATTCTGGGTTATTAAGATCTGATGAAAAAGAAAAATTTGGTTTATATTTTGTTCGGCTGGTGAATTCTGGCGGGAAAATCTCCAAAAAATAGCTGTAAACTTTTGAAAAACGTTGGAAAATAAAAATTATTCAAACAGTTGTATCATGTATATGATAAAAGCTACAGCGGACAAAGTTGCCCGCCTAACTCCAGAGAAATATAGCTCAAATAATGTTCCATTTCAAAATATTCAACTTTCAAACTCACTCACCGGAAATCAATGAAGAACTTCGAAGCCAACGACGAATCGAATATACTAGCCACATCGATTCTCGACTTCTCATCGCCACCAACTGATATCATTTTCAATGCATTCGTCTCCAAAGCATCTCCTAATTTACTCGAAGTCTGTGCTTCGGCCAACTTTTCATTCGCATCCTCGTCGATATATTTTCTGACTTTTTTGCAAATAATCGTTTGTAACATATGACGGACATTGTCCGATACTCCTTGCTTGAATACAGAAACTGCTAATCCGAAGAGTCCCCCGTTGTGATTGGTTACGGTAACATCTCGAATTGTAGCTAGACATGAGAGTGACGTCACTTTTGCCGACCCATTTTTGCCTTTTTCTATCTGTAAGCTTTTAGTTCATGTATCGATTGTTTAATAGCTAGAAGGTTTCTTTGTATTAACAACTTGAAACAGTATAACTTACCGAAGATTCCAAATGAAAAGTGAGACCTTGCGCCAGAATCTCCACCTGTCCTGTCAAATTCAGTGGAACCACAATATTCACAGAGCCGCTCAAATCTCCCAGAAGTCTGAAATCTTTTAGTATGATTTTAGAACCCTCCGAACTCTTCCTTTTACCCAATATCCATATTTTGCATGGTCCATGATATCTTATTCGGCGCCGTCGAGTTCAGCTGATGATGTTCGGCGCGTCGGAACCTAGTTTAATAATTGTAACAACATGGATAAACCTGTCATGTTTGCGTTTACACTTTTTTTGGAACAACACATCATTATTTTATGACCTCTATTTTTCTGTTGTCTTATCCTTTTTTTGTAATTTTTTAAATATCAGAATCTTACCGAGACAAATGAATTCTGGAGATGTAAATGATTCCTTGGTTGCTGGGAAGAATATGTTCAACATCTGGGATAACAAGTCGAGGAAGTTGATCAGCTAGAAGATTCGCAGCGATCTGAAAATGGATTTTTTTCTCAAGAATAAAAGCAATCACAACCGATTCTTTAGAATTTGTGAATTTTATGAAGCCGCAAATTTTGAAAACTCTTACATTATTCAAGTAGGCCAAACCACGTGGCAGTATTCTGACACGGACACCTGGGAGTGTTCGTGGAGCAGCTAGAAGTGGATGGAAGACGTGGAAGTCACTGTCGATGGAGTTTGAAAAATTGATGAATAGTAGGAGTAATATAGATTTGATGAAACATGACGTCATCAAAATCTGAAACTTGGGAGGTGGTGTGAGTTGGGATTTAGATGAAAGAAAAGTCGACGAACCAGAAAAAGATGCATCGAACATTATTTAAAAATGTTTCAGAAACAGAAAGAATTTTAGATTATTGTATTAACAGACACGGGAGAGAGCAAAAACTTGTTAAGATACTTTCTCTAGAATCTTTATATCAATGCAGATACCGTAAAAACCTGTGAAAAAGGGCTAACTTTTAACTTTCGACTCATATATCTCATTTCCTATGAAAGATATGAAGAAGTGGTCAAATATTGAAATGTTAATCATAATATACAAAATGTTTTATCAGTTGACACATTTTTTGTATCTCTCATAGGAGCCGAGATAATTGTGCTCAAACTTGACAATGTGAAGCTTGCCTAATACAGGGTTTTCGGCAGGCCAATGAATAACTTGGTTACGAAATCTTGAATGTGTTTTATATAAAATTCTCAACTGGAGAATCCAACAAACAAAGATTGTTACGAAATCAATCCCAGACCAAAAATAAATGTATAGATTCTGCATTATCTATCTTCCAAATGACCACTTATCTCTTCATTTTCTTTCACAGGTCACACTAACTGAAATGTATTAGAAGGTGTAGAAAATGGAAGTGTAAAAAGAAAAGAGATAATAAAAAGTGAGAAGAATAAAAGAAGAGAGGGTGACAACCATATGTAATTGGCTTAATCGCTAATGAAGCTGAATCAGAACACACACTTTATTTTGGAGAAAGTAGTTGATAAAGAGAGGTGGGGTCGGGGGTATGATTCTGGAAATTTTTTTTGGGAGAAAATAGGAATAGAGTGGCCCATACTCCCAGGGGGCATCGAAATAGGGGGCATCGTGCTCAAAGGGGGCATACACTCATAGGGGGCATCCTAAAGTTGTCTCTTAGGGGTCATCCCACCATGTCTCATAGGGGGCATAGGACCAAATGCTCCCAGGGGGCATTGATAGTCTCATAGGGGTCATTGAGATCAATTTGAGTATATGATTCTGAACATGATGAATTTTTGTTTTTACATCTTTTTCGTAGTTTTTTGAGGAAAACAAACACAATTGCAGACTTCTCATTGTCCCATTGTTCTATTTGATTTTGTGTCATATTTTTCACTCATCATGAAAAAAATTGTGGAAATTGTTCTGTGCTGAATTTGCAATTTGCAATTTGCAACCTGCAATTTTGATCGCGCCAAACTTTTTTCTGTACATCAAAAATTAATTTGCAGTTCGGAATTGTTCTGTGGGAGAGCGTGATGAGTGAAAAATATGACACAAAATCAAATAGAACAATGTGACAATGAGAAGTGAAAATTTTTTGTCGTAATTTTTGAAAATTCAAAAATATTGAGATTCTGAAGTTCTGCGATTTCGAAGTTCTGAAATTCTAACATTCTGAAATTCTCAGACTCTGAAGTTCCGCAATTCTCAGATTCCGAAATACTGAAGTTTCAAAGTCCTGAAATTCTGAGAATTCTGAGATTTTCAAGCTCTGAAATTCAGGAATTCAGAAACTCCCTCAAAAAAAAACTGTACCCCCGAATCACAAGCGTTGTACCTTTGAATGAAATGAGTTGTACCCCCGAATTTTTGGCCGAAATTCCACCCAGTTGACCCTCCGAAATAACACCTTCGATAGTCTGCAATTGTGTTTGTTTTCCTCAAAAAACTACGAAAAAGATGTAAGAACAAAAATTCATCATGTTCAGAATCATATACTCAAATTGATCTCAATGACCCCTATGAGACTATCAATGCCCCTGGGAGCATTTGGTCCGATGCCCCCTATGAGACATGGTAGGATGACCCATAAGACACAACTTCAGGATGCCCCCTATGAGTTAGTGACCCCTATGAGTGTATGCCCCCTTTGAGCACGATGCCCCCTATTTCGATGCCCCCTGGGAGTATGGGCCGAATAGAGTAGAGGCATACAGTATCGGGAAAAATCATATTTTAACATCATCAGTGGAAAAAGTGGACAACTTTGGAGTTCCGAAAAAAACATTCCAGAAATGTTCCATTGCTCTGGAATTTTCAGATTTCGCTAAACATGAAAGGATACTAATTTTCGCAAAAATCGATACTAATAAGATAATCGGCCTTTAATCAATAAAATCTTCAAAAATTCAAAAATTACAACTGAAAAGAGGGTTGTACCTCTGCTTATTTTTGTCCAACACTAGTGTCCGACTATAACCAAATTCACTGCTCACCAGATATTTGAAACCGGGAAGAAAAACTAATCATAGCGTAATGGGTAAATATTGGTTCAAATTGATTTCTCTGTTTCAACATAATTTTTTTCACTGTTTTTCTATTACTTCAATGGGAGTTTTTCTTTTAAAAAACTAATGGCGCGTCCAAAGTTTCCAAATCTGGGATTTCTGAGCACAGAAAGCAGTCCAAAGTGACGCCCAGATTCCCAAAATTTCCAATTGGGCAAAATTTGAACAATGCGACATTTTTTATTTGCATCAAAATGTGCAAAAAATCATGTAGATTCACATACAAATAAAGAAAAAAATCCTTAATCGAGAAAAACGGCATCGAAAAATGGTCTTTTTTGCATAAGAGCCCTGACGTTTTTCTCGATGAAGGTTTTTTTTCGAATTTTTTCTTTATTTTAATGTGAATCAACATGCTTTTCTGCACATTTTGATGCAAAAAAAAATTAGATTGTGGTTCAAATTTTGCCTAATTGGAAATCTTGGGAATCTGAACGTCACTTTGGACTGCTTTCTGGGCCCAGAAGAACTTTGGACGCGTCAAAAAGAAATCGAAGATCAAAAATTTTTCAAATCATCACTTTCACACTTACTGAAACTCTAGCAATCACCATCATTTTTTAAAGTTTTTGGGAAAAAAGCAGAAGGTTATTGAAACTGTTAGAGTTCAGAATTCCATCTGGCATACTCTAGACTAATATACCAGGAAAACATGAATTAGAAGGATCTCTGAAATTGAAGAGCCCCTCTAATTGAAGTGCCTCTCTAGAGAGCCCTCTGATTTTTTCTACCAGTATTGTAATCAGCTCATTTTGTTTTACTATAATCACGCTAGTCATGACTTATGACTCATATAATTTAAACAAAATTATTGGATACTGGATTCGCTTTCAAATTTGATAATACATAATTTTATGAAAACAGTATAAGTTTTTGAAAAAAGATAAAATCGTTTATTCCATAGATTTTGCTTGAATTAACTAAAACATTCACGAATTCACATGTTCTGGAGGAAAACTCCAGTTTCATAAACATATCAAATTTTGATTAAATCTCGGAAACATTCGATGGTCCAACGATTTGGGAACCTCGATGAACGACAATAACATCGGTAAAGATCTACTTTTCCCTATTATACGAGATTTATAATCTTCGTTACTGTAATCACTGAAAATTGATCTTTAAAATTTTGATAGTGCACGAAGCTTTAAAAAGCCTCCAAAGCGCCTCAAAAGAGACTAGAAACCAAAGAAAAGAAACAAATGATTGGAACCATGGGAATAAAATGATCTGGCCGAAAACTCAAGACATAATTGGTGAAGATAAAGAGACATAAAACTGAGAGATAGTACTGGAATACAGAAGAGACGGAAAGAAAAAGGAAACGCTTTTGATGAAGAAGCTTCACACGAGAGAGAAAGATTGCCTGTCGTCAAGTGTTGTAATCGGAAGAATCGCCCTTCCTTGGATGGCAGATTCTTGTATATTCCTATTTTGTCTGCTTCTCTAATCCTCTTATTCTCATTTTCTATCACTTCATTTCAACACAATGTCCGTCCTTTATCCCGCATCGTTTTGTCCCCCCGTGTCCACACCCTTTATCTTCTTCTTCTTCTTTCTGACTCCGCCCACTTTCTTCTTGTTCCTTTTTCCCTTCTACACTAATTTCTCTCCCTGTATCTCTCTTCTACTCATGCCAAATGAATTCTTGTATTCTCGTTTCTCTCTATCCACCTTGTCCCCCGGTTTTACACTGATGTACAGTTTCTTAAATTTCTTCATTTTCTTTTTATGTCTAAGATTCTCTTTCTCTCTGTCTTTTTTCTTGACTTTGAATTATGCGACTCCTCGAGACATAGACTCATTTTTTGATGTTCCTTTGTTCTTTGTGACGTCGTCTTTTAGAAGTTTCCGATGAGGTTTACACTTCATAAGTCTAGTATTTAGTGTCTTTTTTCGAATATCAGGAAGAAAATGAGTCATAAGTCTAGAGGGGAACTGAAAGTCATGGGACAAGTAGTTACAGTTTCAAAATATCAATTCCATAGGTTATACACAGCTAAAGTGCTCAATGTATGGCGCTTTCAGTATCTGAAAAATATTTTTAAGTAAAAAAATCTCTGAAATTTTCAGATTTAGTAATTTTGTAATTGAAGCTTTTTTGATAATTTTGTCCCAATCAAATGTTGTGCATTTTTTAGTTTAAGACGGCACATCTTATTTGCTCCAATGGAAAAAAAACTATCGACTTTGAGATTATATATCTCGGTTCTTTCAAAACGTATCAAAGAGTGGTCAACTGATAAAACATTGGTGTTATTATGATAAATGTTTTGTCAGTATACCACGTTTTGATATCTATTACAGGAGTTGTGACAATCGAGCTCAAATTTGACGGTTTGAGTGGGCTTTTATTAGAGGAAATACAGTATCTTTGTTAAAGGATTTGCACACAAAAGATGACAACTACAAAAATGGAGTTCTATCGTATTTATGTGGTTGTGTCTGAAAAATTTAATCGTCAAATTTCAAAAATTGAAAAATTATATTCCTACACCACGCCAATCGCTTCAGTGACAAAAATTCCGAATAGCGTACCGTAATTCCTTTAATAGAAGCTCAAAAGAAGCACCGTCCACTTTGAGCTCAATTATCTCGGTCCCTTCATAATATGTCAAAATAGTTCAACTAATATGATATTTATCATAACATCACCATCATTTTATCCGTTGACAAAGTTTTGATATCTGTTTCAGAAATTGACATAATTGAGCTCAAATTGCAAATATAGGGTGCGCTTCTATTAGATCAAATACGACAACCATCATTTTCCAGGCAGGTTTTCTCGTTTCCTGTGAAAGATTTTGAGAATTAGTCAACTGATAGAATACGTTTGATGTTACGAGAAACGTTTTTTTAGTTGACTACTTTTTGCTATCTTTCACAGGGACCAAGATAAATTGGCTTACAGTTAGCGACTAAACGAGGCCGGGCTAAAAATTTGAGTTTCTTTCACAAAAATCCTGAAACCGTAACGTTTTTTTTTTCAACTTTCTAAATTCCGATATTTATACCAACCCAATCGACTTATTGACTAAAATTTTCTGAACTCATAATTCGAAATCACAGATGAATATTGAAATTTCTTACTATTAGTTTATTCCTATTAGCTTGATAATGCGAGGATGCTCGATTCGAAGCCCAAAGATCATTCTAGATAACCAAATGACTCATCCATTACATAGCTAACCAACCATTCCTAAAGCCTTCCCCTCCGTTCCCTCCAGTTCTTCTTTCCGCGCATGTTCATCTGTTACTTACTTTACAACTAACTGTCTCTTGTTCCTATTCTTCTTGTACAAACAAAGCTGGCCTTATCGTTTAAAGAGTACATAATTTACGGCACACTTCGCACACCATCAAATCTTTTAGAATTCAAACTTTTTAGGATTTCAAATCCTTTGCCATTCCCATCCTCCAAGTCCATCATCATGAAGCATTAGCCCATTATCCCTCACACGTTCATCTCTCTCCCAATCAATTCACTTTCATCACTTTTTCCCCTTTTTCGAAATCTATTAGAGTCTATACACAATTAGTGACGGTGTCTGTCTCTTTGCTACTACAGGAAAATGTACTTTCATCCGTGATGGTTTCTCCCCCTTTTGCCCCATTGCCGACTGACTTTCACCTATTTTCGCCCACTTCTTTTTCCGTCATTCCAATGTAATACCAAATTTTCTCGTGCCGACGATGACCAATGTTTTTTGTTTTGCCTTCTCCGATTTTTTCAACAATCAAGAGGACACACAGTTTTCTCCAGAAAACCTGATTTTTGATTTACCGAATAGACGATCGCCGTCGACCCTCCATAATTTTTGTTTAGTGCTGTTTCTTCTGGCGCGCACCACGCACTGAACAGCTGTTATAATATCGTAAAAAATGATACGGGCGTTTTAGGAGAGGGGTTAGCGCTTTTTAGATCTTTCTCTGTTTCTCTAATGTCTAGGTTATGGGGAAATCGGAGACGTTTTCGTGTTTTAGGTTAGTCATATGCTTTGCGGATGACGACTTCTCTCAAGTCAGACTGTTTACTCGACATTTTTTTTGTAGGTTTTGCTTCTTTCGAAAATTTTAGTGTTTCATTTCTCCCTGAAGGATGTTCTGGATAGAATTCGTAATTCCGATCGAAATATTTTTTGGAAAAGAATTTGGCTACCGTATTTCAAAGGCGCATGAGAAAATTTTTCTTGTGGGTCTCGAGAGGAATCACTTTTGATTTTTTTTGCGTTTTTGAATTCTCCTTGTCGAATTTTCCTCAATTTTTTTCGCTTTTGTGATTTGAAATTCCGAAAATTGAAAAATAAGAGTGTTTTGAAGATTCCGAAATTTCGAAAATCGGAATATTTCTTAGATTCCGAAATTTAAAAACTAGGAATTTTCGACATTCCAAACATTCCTGCGAACCTCTGAAAAACCCTGAACACTGAAAAATTTTGAAAACTTCTCCGAGGAACTCCGCGCACTGCGTTATTTCGGAGCATCGTTGTCGGTTTATTTTAGTAGTTTTCAGTCATTTTCCTTCGTTAATTTCTCTTACACTTCGAATTTTCTCACTTTTTTAAAAAAAAATCCTTTCTAACTGAAAATTTCCAGCTTGTCACAGGCGGGTCCAAATGTGTGAGCTGCGACGACCGGCAAACGGAACAAAGGAAAAGTAGCCGCCCTTCTTTTTCATTATAAAAATTGAAACAAAAAGCACAACACAGTCTCCCCTTCAATATCCGCCTCTCCCACATTCATTCGTCACTCTCGGGATGCCGGAGACTTTTATCATGTGAGTTTTTTTGCTCTGAAACTTTCGAATTGTTCTTTCAAATTCAGAAAATGCACAATATTCCTCTTGTTGTTCGGAACAACACAGACATCAGAGTTCGGAGTAACGTTGGGAGATGCTGCGATCTCTCAGCTGATTCGACACACGGCGTCACAGTTTTTGGAAGAGACGCGAGTCGCTAATGTGAGTTTTTGAACCATTGAGAAATTTGAAAATTTCGGGCAATTAAAAAATATATTTCTGGCATAAATTGATGTCAGTCTGAACCTGCTTGATTTTAAAAAATCAGCGTCTTTCGGCCGCGCATCTCTTCAGAGCCGCCCGCACCAATTCCTACTGTATTCTTCTCCCCCTTCTCCTCTTCTGACTATGAGTCAGCTCAGACATTCCCCTCCTGTGCAAAAACTTTGTAATAACACAAAACAAAAAGCTTCAATTGATAAACCAAATCGTGTTACACATGGCTCGATCTACTATTGTATGCTATTGCGCTCTATTGAGAAAATGACGTGGCAAAATTTTAGGCCGCTGAAAATTCAAATTTCTCGCAATTTCTAGTTGACTTGCCACATAAAAATCGATTTTCAACGGACCTTAAATTTCGCCACCGTCGCCTTCTCATTAAAGCGCAACAGCATACCACAGCAGTTGAAACCCTGTGGCTTCATGCTTTCTCCTCCTTCTGAAATTTAATTAGGTGCTTCTTCCCACGCCAATATCTTTAAAATGGTTCATTCTGTAACACTTTACACCACTAGAAGCCTAATTGTCTGCTTCCTAGTCCTACTAGTTGCATGACGACCCGTATGACCTGTAATTGGTTCTCCTCGCTCTTCCGATACTACTTTTCCACGCATTTAATAACTCTGACATGTTCCTCTGACAGCTTTTACCCATCCGATCGTTTTGCCCTCTTCTTCCTCTTGAATCCCAGCAGAATCGTATTGAGTCATCCTTGAAATGTTTGACCTACATTCGATTCTTTTGAAGTACACGGGAGTCGCTGCAAAGAAACAGTGACGACGACATGGATGGATGGATTTGAAAAGAATCTGGACTTTTTGAAATTTCGATGAGGGGTCAGAAAAGACCTAATGTAGCTAGGGAGTAAAAAATAACACATGGTTCTGCCAAAAGATTAATTAGTTTTGTTCTTCCCGGACGACTACATGAGGCAAAAAAAGGAAAGTAAGGAGTTTCTCTCTCCCTTTTCCAGCCGTGTGTCCTTGGCGGCAAAGAAAGAGAGGCGAAGCAAAATGGCTTGTCATTTCTGGCGCAATCCAATTAGACGGTCCTCTTCACCAAAGAAGACGGACGGTTTCGGAGAAAACTGAACAAACTTTTTTTGAGAATAAGGGATGATTCGATTAGGTTATGTTGGAAAAATGAGTGGACAGAGGAGAATAGTCCGATTCGAAGAGATTAATTGTTTACGCAATTACCAAAAAAAAAAAGACGATTTTTGGTGAAGAAAAAGTTCCTGGAAGAATCAGTGTTTTAAGGAAAGTTCTCAGGATTCCTGAATTCCACGTCATCAGATTGAAGAACTAAAACGGGCGAAACTCGGTGACCGTCGACCAACAGCCAATCGAATTCCTGAATTTGCGCGTCAAAATCCCAGAGAGTGTTTGCGTACGCAGAATCACAAATCGGTCAGCTCGGGAATTGCTTCAAAATTAAAGGCGCATGGAGTTCCCTGCTTGGGTCTTGCTTAGACTGGTCGTGTAGCTCCTCGAGGACAAGACATGGCCTAGAAAACTCCAGTAATCGGCCCCGGCAGATCGCTGGTTTTTATTCGCTTCTGCAAAAAGAAAAATCCGGCAATTTGCTGATTTGCTTCTCACTGAATAACCTCAAAAGGCTCTCTGAAATTCTTGCCACGTCATCGGAAGAACTGAAACCCCATGATACTGACACAATTTTATCAAACGATCCTATTGAAAACCTGCTCCGTAACACTTTACCTAACACGTTATATAACCTGGATCGTGTGACAAGATCACTATCTCTTCTCTTCCGTTCCGTTCCGTTGTTTCCTCTCTTGAAGAAGTGTCACAATCTGTTCCAAATCTCTCTTGTGGACCTCTCTCCGGAAAATTAGACAAAAGGAAAGACAAAACATTTTGCGGATGATCCGTATCTTACCTAACCTCTTCTTCCTCTTCATCTTCTAATATTCCCCGCTCATCATACGTCCCGAATACACATTCTATCCGCGACAATAAAAGTGTTTTTGGGATCTTTTTCTCACTCTTTATTTCATCTCGAGAGTGTGGCGATTTGACCCTCTCCAGACAAGGACACATTGAATTCAGGGGTTCAGAAGTAGAAGAGGTGAAAAAGGTGGCCTTCGAAAATTCGAATAAGAGAGGCAACTTCAGGGGAAGAAGATGAAGATAGAAATGGCGATATCCGATGGTGATGTAATATAGAATTGGAATAGCAATTGGCATGTTTATGGGTAACTGAGAAAGGTAGAAGGGGAGGAAGATCATAGCTACTCTTGAGCAGGCCCTGAAAGGAGCGGTAAAGACCTACTCATATACAAAGTGTAGAAATAGAAAGATTCAAAAATAATCTCGAAAAATCGAAGTTCTCGCCCCTTTCTGGAAACTTCTAGAAGGTTCTCGAATTTTTTTGAATTCCCGCCAAAACTGAAAACTCCGAAAAGTTAGTGATTTTTTCGGAAGCAAAATGTAGTTTGCTATTAGAATTTTGCAAAATTTTTAGACCTTTTTAAGTTTTCTAGCCATTTTCAAAGATTCTTTCTCGATTTTTCCGGTTTTTTTTTCTGAAATTTGATGGAACGGTTTTCGTGAAGATTACTGTAGATTACTTTAGAAAACCTTCTATTTTGTAGTTTTTTTGTTGCCGTGATTGCGTTTGCAAAAAAACTCGAAAAAAAGGAAATACGTTCTCTACAGTAACCTACAGTAATCTTCGCCAACACCATCCTGACAAATTTCTGACGAAAAATTCGGAATATCGAAAAAGAATCTTCAAAAATAGCTAGAAAACCTAAAAAGGTCTAAAAATTTTGCTGAAGTACCAAAAGAAAAATCAATTGTTTTCTCGAAAAATCGCAAAAAAAAAGATAATTTTTCGAAATTTTAAGTTTAGGCGGGAATTCAAAAAAGATTTGAGAACCTTCTGGAAGTTTGCAGAAAGGGACGAGAACTGCGATGTTTTGCCTTTTGAAGCGCCTGGGACATAATGCCTTACAGCTCAACTGACAGATCCTTTCTGATAAAGAAACAATTCCAAAAATTCTGAAAATTGCCTTTTTTCAGATTCTTCTCAAATCAAACGAAGAACCATCATTCGGCTCGTTGGCTCATCTGAAACTCTTCAACACCGTCTCCTATCGAAACGTCTCCGTTCAATTCCGACCGAAAGTCGTCCATGTCTTCTTTGAAAAGTGAGTTTTCAATGCTAACGGTCACCAAAAGAACGTCTCCAAGGTCTCTTTTCTGAAGGCTAACAACGCAAACAATTGAAATTATATGTGATTCAAATGCATTCGTTTTTTTTCTAGCTTGAATATCACATCGCATGCGAATCTCTCTGACGTCATCTGGCCTATTCCGTTCGCCGATTCTTTGGTGGATTCACATGTAAAAGTGCCACGTGGACATTTGAGATTCATTGTCGACGATCAGAAGGTGACACTGTCGAAATGTGCACTGTTCAATCCGGATATCGCATTCCAGTTGAGAGATTCTTGGCTCGTTAATAAGGTAGGAATTTTTTTAGTAGGCCGGGTCCTACAACGAAAACTACAGTAACCTGAACATATGTTATTTTTCGGATTATTCTTCTTAATTTTTGCGACTTTTTATGTGAAAAATAACAGAAATCTCGGCGGAAAGCAGTGAAAAACGAGAAAAAATCCTGAAAATCAAAATATTTTTAGGTTACGTTAGTTGTCGTTGTGGGACCTTCGACCAGATTTTTTCTTCCACAGAAAAAATCATAAATATTTCAGGGAATATCCGCTTTCGGATCGATGGTCTCCTCGTTTTTCGAAGGCGCTCTGTGCTCTGCTCTCTCCTCTTCCACCAACGACTTGAAGCACAAAACGGAGAGGAAATTCCCGATTTATGAGTTCTTGCCGAAGAAGGTTCAAGATCATATGGCCGCCAGAAACACCACTTTGTTCTATAGAGTGAATTCGATCGACGCCGACGACCATCAACTGACAGTCCGTGCTCAAATCGAATGGCAAAAGCTAGTTCCAGCGGTATCTGATGAGACATCGAACCTTCTTTCTGGCCAACAAGAGGAACATTCGAATGCAACCAAATTGTTGGATATGGAAATGAAGAATGGGGATTTGATAACGATTTGGTTGGAAGATGCGATTCTGAATGAGATTTTAGATCAAATCGATTGGAATTTCGAATGGATGGATGAACAGATTCCAGTCTCCAGTCCGATCATTCCACCAGATTCTAGAGAATTCTTGTCGACTTTATGTACGGAATGTTACTTCCAAGTGAATGTGAACGCGAAGGGAAGGCCGACAATATCGGCTACAAATTCTTCGTTGCAGTTAACGAAGTGAGTTTTGTGAAGGAAAATTTTCAAAAAATCAATAATTTCCTTCCAGAACCGATCGTATCCATTTGCAAGTTGTCAACCCAGAACAAAAGAAAACGACTGTCTTCGTCTCGCTTGTGCTCACAATTCAAGCTGAACTCCGCCCATCATTCGACAATGGAACTCTCCGAACCAACGTGGAACTTCTGGATACCCATATCGAAATGGAAAAGGGAGCGTTCCCAAAGACATGGGGATTCTTCATGAGTGATTTGATTCGTGGAATGATTATGGATATGATGTGGCCGGAAATCAAAAGTGCTATTGAGGATTTGACCTATGGAAAAGGGCTGAAACTGAGCAAGTTTTGCGGAATTGATCCGAATAATGTGGTTATTGATATAGGTGAGAACTCGAAACTCACTGAAAATCGAACAAGAATATATTCTAAATATTTATTTTCCAGCCGAAGGAAGTTTCTCGCTCTCCACTCGCCTAGTCCTCCCAATGTTTCAGTCTGAAGCCTGTCTGAAAGATCTCAAGAGCTCCATTCCGAACACGTCGAAACTGCTTCAGAAGACCACCCCCTCGCCCTTCTCCAGAAGGCGCCGAAGCTTCTTCTAATTGCCGCTGTATTATAAAAGTTTAATCAGTCACCCGTTGCCATTCATCCTCCCACAGCTTCTTCTCATTTTGCCATTTTCTCTCGTTTCACCTGTTTTTCTTGTTCATGAACCTTGTTCCATTTGCCCCCCACGAGTTTTATCACTGATACGTGTATCGCTCTTCCGTTCCCTCTCTCCAGCAACATCATCATCAACCCACATCGAATATGCTTCTAAAACACATGACAACAGCTATAATTTTTTTTGTTGAATCAATTTTCAATATATTTGTAATTTTCAATTTTTATATGTGATATATTCCGGAATAAGTTTCTTCGAAATGTAAAATAAAATCCTATTTTTGAAGGAAAAATTTGAAAGTCCGGCAATTTCATTTTTTTTTCAATTATTTTTGGAGAATTCGCCGAAAAATCCCTTGAAAAATCCGAAATTTCAATTTGAAATATTTTTGCAAACTACTGTATTTAGCTTTCGTGGCGAGACCCGGAACCTGTGTTTTGCGCCGCGGACGACGGACGACCGCGACGCTTTCAAAATCATTCGTTCTCTGAAAACTGATCTCATATTGCAGCGCGGGCGCGAGATTTTTCTCATGTTTCGATGATTTTTCGATTTTATTCAGATCATTAGCTCATCAGTTATTGTCCGTTTTCTCTCTCTCTTTTTTTTAAGTTTTGAGCTTCGAAGCTACCTTTTCGTATTTTTTTGCGTTCTCGTCTTTAATTCTTCACATCCTTCAGCTAACACATCTCCCTCCGTCCCTCGTAACACACAAAAACCATGTCGCACCTCAATTACGAGACTCGCCTCCCACTTGGACAAGCCACCATCGAACACTTCTTGGGTCTTCCAGCGCACCCAACCAAGTGTCAGGCGACGTACGTCTGGATCGATGGAACCGGCGAACAGCTTCGTGCCAAGACCCGTACCATCACCACAAAGCCTACAACTATCAGCGACTATCCAGTCTGGAACTATGATGGATCGTCAACAGGGCAAGCTGAAGGAATCAACTCGGACCGCTACTTGAAACCTGTCGCCGTGTTTTCCGACCCGTTTTTGGGAGGACAAAACGTTCTGGTGATGTGTGAGACACTGGACCACGAAATGAAGCCAACAGGTATAACTAACACCGTTTCTTACCTCTCAATACTCGATTTCCAGCCACCAACCACCGTCATAAGTGCGCCGCTCTCATGCAGCAAGCTGCCGCTCACTACCCATGGTTCGGAATGGAGCAGGAGTACCTGATTGTCGACAGGGATGAGCACCCACTCGGATGGCCAAAGCATGGATATCCAGCACCACAAGGAAAGTATTACTGTGGAGTTGGAGCCGATCGTGCCTTCGGACGTGAAGTCGTCGAGACTCACTACCGCGCCTGTCTCCACGCCGGAATTAACATCTTCGGGTCGAACGGAGAAGTCACTCCAGGACAATGGGAATTCCAAATCGGAACATGCGAAGGAATCGAGATGGGTGATCAGCTCTGGATGGCCAGATACATCCTCCACAGAGTCGCTGAGATGTTCGGAGTGTGCATTTCGCTCGACCCCAAGCCAAGAGTCACAATGGGAGAGTGGAATGGCGCCGGATGCCATACAAACTTCTCAACCATCGAAATGCGCAAAGCTAACGGTATCACAGCCATCTTCGAAGCGATGAAAGGTCTCGAAAAGACTCACACCGAAGCCATGAAGGTATACGATCCATGTGGCGGAGCAGACAACCTTCGCCGCTTGACGGGTCGTCATGAGACCAGCGAAGCTGACAAGTTCTCGTGGGGAATCGCCAATCGTGCTTGCTCGATCCGCATTCCACGTCAAGTTGCTGATGAGGCTCAGGTTTGTTTCAATTATCCTAACATAACTGTAATCCACATTTCTTCCAGGGTTACCTCGAAGACCGTCGTCCATCATCAAACTGCGACCCATACCTGGTGACTGGAATGATCGTGAAAAGTATTCTGCTCAACGGACATTCTTCTCCATCTCCAAAAAAGACTAAACTTATTGTTGCATAATCACTCAAAACTAGCACCCATTTTCATTGTAATTGATCTCAACTCATCGCACCCCTCCATGTACTAGTCTGTAATTTTGATGCACCCGAAACACCATTGTAAAATTGAACAAAAAAAAAAACGAACTAACAGCACCCGTCGCTGTATAAATTTGTATATAAAAACAACGAGAATCTTTAAAACATAGATCAGATGATAAAAATTAACACGAGTTAGAAATTGCAGTTGTCCGTGTATTCCGGTTCTTCCAGCTTGACTTCAACCTCTTCCAACTTCACTTCCTTCTCCGTAATGGATGCATCAGGAGCAAGATGAAATGGCTGAGGATCCTCTCCCATTTTATTTCTTTGCAACTTCTCAGCAACCATTTGACTGAGACGATCAACTCGTTGAGGGGTTGCTTGAGCAAACGATTCTGTCAGCTCATCGACGTAATCAAAAATGGTTCCTTTCGCATACTCGCCAAGTTTCTCACGAACAACATTGAGATTTCTCTTGACAGCGGCGAGAATCTCCTCGCCTCGGCTGGAAATGGAGCGCGCTTTGCGATCTCCTTTGTCTGATGGAAAATCGGAAAGGGTGATTTCAGAGATGATGCGACCGATTTCACGGTAGCGGCGGAGGTCCTGGAATTTCATTACATTTAATTAAATGTGTGGAACACATGAACATAACGGCTGTGGTATGCTGTTGCGCTTTAATGAGAAGGTGACGTGGCGAATTTAGAGGTGGAAAGTCAACTAAAAATTGAGATGAATTCGAATTTGAAGCAACTTTGCCACGTCACGTTATCATTGGAGAGCAACATCACAGTAGTGTGAAGAGAATAAGACCTACTTTCTCTGACGAAATACTCGAACCAAATGACTCCCAATGAGCTCCGGGATTCGGCGTATAGTCGTCAGGCTCTTGGCTCAGTTGGCTGGTTGCGTTCATCGATTTTAACTTTTTCTGGTGTGAAGACGACGTTGATGGTTGTGATGAATCATCAAAAGCCCAGTCGGGGTCCTCCTGAAATACGAATTTTTTTTTCAAAGAATTCTGACAACATACCAAAAGTGCTTCTTTCTCCGATGGGCGTTTCCTTTGGCGAATAATCTGCTGCTTGGGTCGAGTATCTGTCATTCCTAATGAGCCAGACGACACGATCATTTCAGGAACAGCTCCGTTGAGCAGAGGGCCGACGTATTTTTCCTCGAAGGGACCATCCAACGACGGAAGTTGTGGAGAATCTGCAGTCTGCAAAAATTTTTAGTTTTAGAAAATTTTTTCGAAAAATATGATACTTTTTTCAATTTTCCGATCGTTGTTGTCTTCGGTTTCTGTACTAAACAGTTAGCTTGTCGCTCGATCGGCGCGAGCTCTTCGTGCGGAAGAATTTGAGGAATCGGAATTTGCTCGCGAAGCAGCGCATAATCTCCTTTATAGTGCACACCGGTATACTGCGATTCCGTTTCCAACATAGCGAATTTGCATAAATTAGGAATGTCTTTGGGTTTCACTTGACAACCGATACTTCGGAAGTGCACTGATCTAACAGGTGGACCTGCTGGTCGAACAGGCGGACCTTGTGATCGAACAGGCGGGCGTGGTGGTACGTCACGCTGTCTGGTGGAAATCGCTGCCGGCTTGATAAAACTTCTCCGCATTTTTCAGAAAAAAACTCAAACCGATTCGGTTTAATCAAGAAAAAACATGAAAATGCCACGATAATACGCTGAGGGGGCGGAGCTTACGCTTTTGCAAAGTCGCCGCGCGCTTTTTGCTGGAGCTAACAGTATACAGTGAAAAGTTGTTCTCGAGAATTTTCAAATAACTCCGAGAAACTAAATTACACAAAAAAAAACAAAGAATCCCTACCACAGCAATTTCCTTTCCAATTTTTTGTTTCTCCATCATTTTCAGCCGCTTTCTTTCTGCTTCCTGCTCAATTGCCAATTTCCTCTTCGCTGCACATCCTTCTTTGTCAGCCAACGCTGCTGCAACTTTCATTTCTACGGAACCGAACCGTCTACTATAATTCCAAACTGAGAAATCTGGAAGCGGCATTTTTGCTGAAAAGAAAATATTAAACATTTCTGAGAATCATTGGGCAGGTCTGGGGGAAAAAATCCGATTATTAATCTTTAAAAAATAGCAAAAAATTGTAAAAGGCGATGAAAGAGAAGAAGACATGAAGAAATAGAGAAAAATAAAGTGGCTGCGCTCTGACGCGCGAGAAAGTCCAATAGGGCGCACTTGTGATACTTGAGGAAAAAGACACAAGACAAACCAAACTGAAGAACTACAGTATCCTTCAAACCTGATCTTTATATGTTTGAACTGAAAGATGAATGAAAAAAGATCAGCTTCAACAATGTATAGAAAAGACTTTCCTTTTGAAATTTGAATGACAAAAGACACATGTATAAAAAACATTCAAATAAAATTGGAAAAAAAATCATTGTTAGGTGATTCTGATGATGGAATTTCTGCAGTATATTCTAGTCTTACTCCTGGTTTTTTGTTCCTTTTTTAACGGATCATTTGCTCAGCCACCGGTTAGTTTGTTATTCAGTTTGACCTAAAATGCCGTATTTTCTCAAATAGTTGGTCACCCAAACTTTGAGCTTAATTATCTCGATTCCTGTGAAAGGTCTCAAAATTGTGTCAATTGATAAAATATTGGTTATATTATGATAAATATTTTATCAGTTAACAGATTTTTGTTATCTTTCATTGTAACTTAGATAATTGAGCTCAAAAACTGTAGGAAGATTCTCGAATTTCTAGACATGCGCCCAAGCCGGATGTCCAACGGGTGGAGTTTGGGGAGAATGGAAAACCATCGGAAGTGGACAATGTGATATGGAGTGTGGAGGGTGTGGTACACTTGTGCAGACCAGAGAGTGTATAAGTGATCCAATTTGTCCTTGCACGTAAGTATACTGTAGGTGTAGGAACAAATAAAAATATAATAGCATGTTTGATTACTGTAGAACAACTTTTTCATCCAGAATTCGTTTATATGCAAAAGTAGAACTTTGTAAAACCTCCGACAAAAATTGAAGAAGATATTCTGAATTAAAAATCCTTTCTTTACGTTTCAGAGAGCCCGAGACTGTCTCATCGCAATTTTCCTGAAATCCCAGTACCTATACGTAGTTTGACCTCATACCGTATTTCCTCTAACAGGATCCTAAGCCATACTTGAACTTTGAGCTCAATTATCTCGATTCTTTCGAAAGATATCAAAATTTATCAACTGATAAAATACTTATGGTAAAATTACAAACATTTTATCAGTTGACAAGTTTTTGATATCTTTCATAGGAATTGAGATGATTGAGGTCAAAATTGAAAATTGATGACATTCTGTTAGAGTGTTTACGGTTTGACTCCTATCTCTTACATATTCTTGAATTTAAGATTTTGTAAACAAAAATAATTTTTCACATAACTTTTTAAAAAGCCCAAAAAAATCTCTTCACAAGCTCTCATTGAAACCCAATAAATTAATTTTCAGCTTCTCTTTACGAATTTCAGATATTTTTTCCAGAGGAAGCTCCAATCGTACCACAGGTTGTAATTTCAACGCATGCAAGTATCCAACTCAAAAAGTTTGTTGTAACCCATATGTCCCAATGGTTGTGAACAAAGTTCAAATCTGTGGTCCAATCCCCAAAACAATTGATTCAAGTGCATGCTGCCCGCAGTCCACATTATACTCTGAATGGTCTGGATATAGTAGTAACGGTAACAAAGGATGGGTCAGAACCAGAAGATGTCTGACCGCTTCAATCGGATGCCCTTGTGCTGCTAAAGATATTACCGAAACAGTGGATGGTGGAGTGGATCTAGGTGTTTTCGAATTTAATTTCAATATTTTTAGTTTGTCCCTGTCCGGCAGCAGCCGGGTTAGCAGATAGTGATTGCGAAGGTACAAGTCTTCCTGGAAACAAGGGTTATGTTCAGACAATGGCTATCGATAATGAAGCGTGCACTGCAACTGTGATGTTTTATGCTGCAAATCAAGCCACTCAAACCCCTCCCTTTTATTTTTGTAAACCAATGGCAAGCGGTTATCAAGGTGCTATGAATTTTCAAGGGGCGTATATTACCGTGAAGGAGTCAGTTTCTAAGAAATGTGTTGCTCACACTGCATTCGATTGCGAAGGCGGCAAGAACACGGATAAATACCCGTCTGCTCCTCGGCAAGATGTTACATTCACTTGTAATTTGCAAACAAAGAAATGGATTCTGGATTTCACCGGAAACGACATCGACTCCTATTACCAAGGAAACTGGACTCTCAACTAAATTTTACTGAATGAATTTTTTTGCATACTGAAATTTGGTTCGTTTTGAGTTCCATTCATTAGGCACTGAAGAGGGATGTGTGGAGTTGAGCATTTCCCAGTCATGCAGTCAGAATTGCCCAAATAAAAACTGGGCGCTTCAGAATCTAGCGCCTTAAGTATAAAAGCTGGATTCTTGTCTAGATAGACTAAACCTTTTACAAAAGAGCTCAATTTAACTTACTGTGATTGACCTAATAGAACACCACGCTATACTTGCACGTTGAGCTCATTTATCTCGATTCCTCCAAAAGACATCAAAAATGGTTCAACTGATAAAACGTTTTTCACAATATCAACAACACTTTCATAATTTGCAGATTTTGTATATCTCTTACAGAAGTTGAGATAATTTAGCTAAAATTCCGAGAATCGAGTGGCGTTCTATTAGAGATTTTACAGTAACATGAGTGTCTGAAATAGCACATAGAATGTGTCCGTTTAGTTTAAAAATCAGATAATCCAATCAATTCAATTTTGAAGATACCCCATGTGACAGTACACGAACACCTCACAATTTTCAACTTTTCCACTAGATCAATAAACAAGGGACATCGAACTTACCGTATTTCTCTAATAGGAGGTCACTCTATACGTTTAATTTGAGCTCAATTATTTCGGTTTCTTTAAAAGATATCGAAAACTTGTCAATTGATGAATTGTTCATCATAATATCGTTAATATTTTATCCGTTGATTGATTTTTGGGGTATATTCCAGTATAGCCCCCCGAAACATTCCAATATAACACCCCTGGCATAAATGTTGGAATACATCCCCACCCACCATCTTTCATAAGGTGGGTGGGGGTTCAAAAAATGTTTTTCCTGATTTTTTGCCTGAAGATCAAACGTACGCAGCAAAATTACGCATAGAAAAATATTTGTTATTTATCGATTTTGCACCGGTTTTTTGTTAGTTTTCTTTAGATTTCCGCGTTTTTCCTACTTTTTTCTCAATTTTTCCTGATTTCTGGTTTATATTACCGTACATTTTTTGTCATTCTACTAGAGAAATAATTCTTTAATGCCAGTCCCCAACAAAAAATAGGCTTAGGCAAAAAGGGTAGAAATGTTGAAGATTCCAAATAAAAATAAGCTTAGCGCCCTAAATCGTGAAAACAAGACCTTGAAAACAAGACCCCTAGAAATTCTTCAGATTTCAAATAAGCCCCCCCCCCCCCCATCATTTCAATATGACCCCCCTTCCCCGCAATCCGTTCCAATCTGACCCCCCACACGGGGTGGTTTTCTGAAGTTTCCGTTTGGGGGTGCATATTGGTTTGGTGTGGGGGGGGGGGGGGTTATAATGAAAGATTTCCACGGATTCCAATATAATCCCCCAAATCACCGGTGGGGGGATATTCTGATCTCTAAAATGTCCCCCACCTGATCGTCCCATTTAGAGACCCCACCTTTTTAACCCCCCCCCCCCACTTTTCAACGGGGTGGGGGGTTATTCCAGTACGTGGGGGGTCGTAACTGTGTGGGTATCCTGTTTATTTTTTTCAGCAATATTGCCGCTAAGTCAACCTTCGGACATGACTTGTACAAGAGAAAATTTATAAGCAAACGGCACGTCTTCTACAGTATACCAAACACAATGAGCACGAATCGAAACTCTGACTACAATTTCATAACATCAAAAAACCTTTGAACACAAAATACGATTTCTGTGAATAGACCTGAAGTTTTGATCTTCACTGTTTTCTTGATCAGCTCGAGTGCAAAGAAACAAAATGAAGCAATTCTTTTGTTAAGAGTAGGTACAAATACCTTACCATGGGAGCCTGAAGATTTTGAACGATGAAACTTCACTTGATAATTCTTTCAGCGTTGCTTTTAGGGTCTTCTACGGCTCAGAGTCCACCAGTGAGTTCAATAGTACTGGAAAATAGATTTTTCGAATTCTCCATTATGAAAAAATTGTGAAATTCTGCTTTTTGGAATTTTTCAGAAAATAAAACAGGTTTTTTGGTTTTTTTTTTGAAATTTCAGTTTCGTTATTTTCTTAATTGATATCGAAAAGTGATCAACTGGCGAAATGTTTATCATATTATCAGCAAAATTTTATCCGTCAAACATTTTTTGAAATCTTTGACAGGAACCGAGATAAATTTGGTCAAAATGGAAAGTTTGGGTGGTTATTGAGTGTTTAAAGTGATTCTCATCAGAATTTTTCTCTTCACATTGAAATCTCAAACTGAATCTTTGGTTGCGAATTAGAACACTTCCTAGCAATGACTTGCTGTTTCTTTTGGAATTTCACTGTTTCAACGATAACATTTTTTCATAAAATTGGAAACGGCTAGTTATTCGGCATAGTTGAGATCTTTTATGTCAAAGATATAGAAATGAAGGAAAATTTATCAAAAATATTTCACAAACAATTTAATTTTTCGATATCTCTCACAGGAACTGAGGCATCTAGATTCAAATTGAGGGTTACTGTAAACTTACGTGCTACATGGACACCCAGTAAGTTGGGAACTCATACAGTCTCTTGTCTGAAACAACTGATCACATCCTCCACAAGACGATTCACACTTCCCATCTCCGACCGTTGTCCACTCTCCCCACATTCCTCCAGGAGGACAAGTCACACCAGCAGCACATGCCTGAAACTTTCCAAGTTTAAAAATATTTGAAAAATACGGCTACAGTAATCCTTTTGCTCACTCTAAATTTACATCATAACTTCGAACTGTTTTTTAGGATTTTGTTGCAGAGGTAGCCAAATGGCAAAGGCGGGGGCCTCCGGAACCTGTGGACAAATATCCTTTAGGGGTTCGATTCCCCTCCCTGGCAGAAACCTCTTTTCAATTAAGAAAATAACGAAACTGAAATTTCAAAAAAAAAACCAAAAAACCTGTTTTATTTTCTGAAAAATTTCAAAAAGCAGAATTTCACAATTTTTTCATAATGGAGAATTCGAAAAATCTATTTTCCAGTACTATTGAACTTACTGGTGGACTCTGAGCCGTAGAAGACCCTAAAAGCAACGCTGAAAGAATTATCAAGTGAAGTTTCATCGTTCAAAATCTTCAGGCTCCCATGGTAAGGTATTTGTACCTACTCTTAACAAAAGAATTGCTTCATTTTGTTTCTTTGCACTCGAGCTGATCAAGAAAACAGTGAAGATCAAAACTTCAGGTCTATTCACAGAAATCGTATTTTGTGTTCAAAGGTTTTTTGATGTTATGAAATTGTAGTCAGAGTTTCGATTCGTGCTCATTGTGTTTGGTATACTGTAGAAGACGTGCCGTTTGCTTATAAATTTTCTCTTGTACAAGTCATGTCCGAAGGTTGACTTAGCGGCAATATTGCTGAAAAAAATAAACAGGATACCCACACAGTTACGACCCCCCACGTACTGGAATAACCCCCCACCCCGT